TAAAATAAGGAATAATAATTTTAAAGAAAAAAAATATATATATATGTCAAATTTTCAAGCAAAAAGATATTGATTGTACTTTCGCATTGTTCATCCAAATGTCGTAACTCTTCTAGATTCGCGACGACCTCTGAGCTTAAGTTGTAAATTGCTGCGTATTGAACAGTAAAAAAAAAAAAAAATAGCAATGATAAAAATTTAAATAAAGAAAACTTTTCAAGTTTAAAATAAACAAGAATTATGAAAATAAGAAGCTGATCAGTGGCTAAACTTTCGAGAGGGTAAATGAGAGCGCAAGACGGAGACGAACGTACAATCAAGATAGTCGTCGAGAACTTCGGAAGCGGATTTCAATCCGTTTAGAACGTGTCCTTGTTCAAAATCGCTGGTTTCTGGTTCCATATTTTTTTTTTTTTTTTTTTAAGTGTATATGTATATATATATAAATATATATAGAAAAAAAAATCTGTTAAGGTAGAACGAAGAATGACAAATGATAGAACGAGAAAAAGAGTGGATACAAAAAAAAAGTTGAGTGCGGTACGATAAAAAAAAAAAACGTCGGCTTTTCGTGTATGTCACCAAAGTTACCTTAACTGGGTGGGTCGTGCGAAATATTTTCCCGTGTTAGAATTGACAATCATCAAAAAATTTTTTTCTCGACTTATACAGTATACAACACGCACATGAAATGTTAAAAATATCTTCATATAGGCAATGTGTTAAAGTGATATCATCGAGAAGGAACAGAACAATTACGTACGTACGTACGTGTTAACTTAATCGTCAAATGCGCATTGTTAAACTGTTGAACAAAGTTTTTTGATAGGCTTATGCAGGGGTGCAGTTTAACACACGAATCACGAATGAGCAAAGCATTTTTTTTTGAGGGAATGAAATGTACAACCATTTTTAAGCGATTACGTAGTCAAAATTACGACATCGGATCAACAGAAGAGTTTTAAAGCTTTTACTGTATATATGACAATATGATTATAAGAGGTTTTACATAATTGTAAGAATTATAATTCTTCGTGTTTGGAATCACCGGCAGTGGTGGTTGTCGGTGCCGCAGAAGACGGCGATGATGATGTTTCTTTCGGAGTATCAGATTCAATATCGACTTTGTTGACCGCATTCTCACCAATGAATTCGATGAAACTTTCAAGTGTGCGATCACCTTTGTAATCGACAATTTCCTTGTCTCCGGCTTTAAAGAGCTTGATCGTAGGGAAGCCACTAACTTTGAAAGTAGCATTGGATGGGATGTCATTATCATTGCAATTCATTTTCGCGATCACTATTTTATCTTTGGCCTTGGAATAAGTTTCGCCTAATTGATCCCAAATGGGGGAGAGCTTCTTGCAATGTCCACACCCTATACAATTATGCGAAAAAAAATCAATGAGACGGAAAATTCTCTTTATAAAAGATTGAAAAAAAAAAAAGAATGAAGAAAGCCTACATGGAGCGTAGAATTCGACAAGGACATCCTTTGCCTTATCATAGATAATTTCCTCGAATGTGTGAGCCACCACAATAGATACAGGTCCATCATTCTTTTCCGGAATGGGTTCAGACTTGATGCTAGGTTCAATTTCGTCGTTAACGAACTTGGATAAGAACTCCGCGATACCTTCAGTAGTGATTTCCTTGGTCTGATCGAATGGGTACTTTAAACCTTCTTCGGGTTTTTGAATTCCAAAAGCCGGCCATTGTTTTTTTAAATTAATATTATCTGCATGTCCGCCAAATTTAGAGGCATTTATGTAGACGAAGTTTATTTGACCCTTGTATTCTTTCGCAACCGGCTCGATGATTTTACCATAGGTAGCACGTTGTTCATCATTTTCGTAAAATAGGAACGCAAGTGGAAGACCTGAATCAATATATGATGCATAGTTTTCTGGTCCGATTTCATCCAACAATGGTATAGAATTCGTCTTGATAAACTCGACGAGTTTTTCTTCGTCGAAGGTGCCTTCTAACACATCCTTGAGCTCATCAAACTTCTTATAGAGGACTACCGCAGGAGCAGTGACTTCGGCTTTGGCCGCAGCTTCATCTTGTGCGGTTTGTCCGAAGAGGTAATCATTTCGTAATTTCTCTGCGACTATATTAAAGGTGTCATGCTCGTTCTGACTTTTAGAATTCCAAAAACCGATGATGACAATGTTATCAGAGTCTTTGAAGGCATCGAGCGTTTCAACAGTGACATCGGACACAGCCGGTAAAGCTTGTCTAAATTTATATTCGCGGTGGAATTAGAATGACGGTTTTCCAAAAAGACAGAATACACGAATTGTGCAGTATTAGCTTTAAATTCTTACTTCTTCATGTAACTGATAATGAGATCGGCTTTCCTGCCACCATTGTAGTCTGAGGCGTTGCCCTCCTTGAACACCTTTAGAGTAGGATAACCTTTAATGTCATTCTCGCTGCAAAGAGCAGCTTCAGTAGTGCAATCCACGGATGCAATCTTAATGTTTTCGGCTTTCAAAACATTGGCTGCCTTTTCGTATTCGGGCGCTTTTGACAAGGAATTTTTTTGTGTAGACGATTAGAACATGAATATTTGGACCATATAAAGTGGTATCCATACCTAACGCTTTGCAATGGCCACACCATGGAGCAAAGAACTCGACAAGAATTATCTTTTCAGCATCAACAATTTCTTTGAAATTCGCCTTCGTTAGGATAACCACATCGGACGGCGTCGTCGTCGTCTCTTTTTCAGATGCCACAAGGGATAAGGTCAATAGTAATCCTAGGACTATGAGAGAAAGCAACCGTTTACCAAACATCGCGTTTATTGAAGTTTGTAAT